AAGACATTAGGCATACATTGGGATTCTCGTTCCGACACCATTACATATATCGTGAATCCTATTCCATCGCAAAAGATTACCAAAAGAACCATTCTGTCTGAGGTAGCCAAAATATTTGATCCATTAGGATTACTGACACCTATTATTATACAGGCCAAAATCATTATTCAAAAACTTTGGAATTATAACCTTGACTGGGACGAGTCTTTACCTACCAATCTACATAGTGAATGGAAAAGCTTTTGTGAGCAACTACCAGCTCTTAATTTGATATTCCTTTCCATGTACCATTGTTACTTTAGATGTAAAGGAAATGCAATTACATGGATTTGCAGATGCGAGTGAGAAGGCGTATGAAGCCTGTATTTATCTGGGTACCGTTGGCGAACAGCATAATGTCAGAACACAATTATTATGTGCCAAATCCCGTGTCGCATCTATCAAAATCGTTACAATACCGAGATAAGAACTTTGTGGAGCTCAGTTATTGACTACATTGATGAAGACCGTGAAGAATGCTCTCCAGGAAGAGATGGAAACTTTCCTTTGGACCGACTCTAACATTGTATTACGTTGGATATAAACTTGCCCGCAACAGTTGAAAACCTTTGTCGCCCACAGAGTAGCCGAAATACAAACCAACTTCCCGATAAATCATTGGCGGCGTGTATCGATACACGACAATTCCGCGGATCTTGTATCGAGAGGAGTATCACCCATAGACTTCCCAACCTCAAGATTATGGGTGAATGAACCTGTTTGGTTGTCTGAACCCATAGCCATGTGGCCAAGTCATTTACCTGAAGAAAGGAAATCTTTTGAATTACCTGAGTGACGAAAACCGTTATGTCTAGCTATGACGGTTGGAACACCATTCACCACATTGTTAAGATTGTCTACCTTCGAAAGAATGATTCATGCATTAGCGGATTGTTTTCGTTTCACGAGGTGAACATTTCTACCCAAGTATTTAACCGTGAATGAATTACGTCTGGTAGAAAGTTGTGTAATCAAATGCATACAACTGCAATCCTTCCCTGAAGATATTAAAAACCTACAATCCGGAGATCCACGGCGGACTGTTTCATCAGACTTGCTCAAACTGAATCCCTTCTTGGACGAAGAAGGCATAATTAGAGTCGGGGGGCGTCTGAATTTCTCCAAATTTCCTCATGACGCTAAACATCCTATCATATTACCAAATAACAACCATGTAACCAATCTCAATTATATATTTCCATTAGAAACACTTGCATTCTGGCGTTCAGCAAACTCTGTATACTATACGTCGTAAATCATTGACGAGCGTAGCCTGGTATACAAAATCATAAGGCAATGTTGCAAGTATTTCCGTGCCAATCCTCCAGCTACTAATTACATGATGGGCGAACTTTCGCATGCTCGTGTAAATATTGCGAAGCCATTCAATCAAGTTGGTGTTGATTATTGCGGACCATTTCTATTGAAGGAAAAGAAATTCCGCAACCGAACGTCAACAAAGGCGTATGTCGCTGTATTTGTATGTCTTACCGTCAAGGTCATACACTTAGAACTAGTCACCGACCTCACCTCAGATGATTTTTTGTCAGCTTCACGGAGATTCATATCTCGTCGTGGTTTATGCCAAGATATCTACAGCGAACACCGCACAAATTTTATTGGGGCCAATAACATATTGGAGGAGTTCATAGAAAATATAAATGAACTCGAGGCACAAAACCAAATCCAAGGTTTCCTGAGTGATGAAGGAATACAATGGCATTTCAGCCCTCCACAGGCTCCGCTCGTCGGTGGACTATGGGAAGCTGTTGTGAAAAGTTTTAAAAGACATTCATACAAGGTCGCAAGACATGACAGGTCATTCACATATGAGCAATTCAATACCTTTATTATCGAGATAGAAGGTATATTAAATTCTCGACTATTGACCGCTATTTCCTCTGATCCTAACGATCCTATCTCTCTTTCTCCTGGCCATTTTTTAGTAGGTGACTCTTTGACCAACTTGCCGAGTTATGACTATTCGAAAAAACCTAACAACCAATTATCTCTTTGGAAACATCTCCAAACCCGGTGGAGTAATGAATATTTGAATGAGTTGATAGTTCGTGCTAAATGGAACAAACCCGGGCCCAAAATTGTGCAGGACTCTGTCGTTCTATTACGAGAAGATAATGTACCGCCAGCTCAATGGGTAATGGGCAGAATCATCGAGTGTTATCCTGGCGCAGATGGTGTTGTGCGTACTGTGTTAGAGAAAACCGCTATATCCACATCGCGATATCACCTATGGCAACTCTTGATTGCGAAACAAAAAATTAGAGATATTAAGTTGTTGATCGTAGCCTCTCACCGGGGGGAGTATGTTCAAATGTATCAGTGTTTTTATACATAATTTTAATAATTTTTTGATTTAACATTTTTGACCCTCGGGTCGAATGGTAATCTCAAAGACTTTATTGTTCATGTCTTGTTATTTTGAAATTGGAAACTTCCACGTTATTAGTATTTATTGACGATGGGTATATCTGCAATTCAACCCTCAATAAAAGGTATATCTATACTTCGATTGTTAACTTTCTCAAGACCGTTTATTTTATATCTTCATGGCTATATTAGTTGGGTTCAAATACCGAGATTTCTAAAGATAGCTTGGCATATTTCTGCTTTCCCAGCTTTTTGAAATTATAGCAGTTATTATCTACAATTTTTACTAATGTCTCTGTTTGCCGAATTTCGACCCTCCTTAAAGATGTTCGGAAAGTACGTGACTTGACAAGAATTCCAGCCTATCCTTATAAATTACCCTCTCTCAAAAGGAATATTTTAGGGGACAGGACCAACTGAAAATTCAATTCAGTCTGCGTCCGAAAGTACTAGTAACAAGGCATACCGTCTTACCGCGTATCACAAAATACAGTTCATCGTTTGCAAGTACCGTAGAAACATGTTGTTGCAAGACATACCGTCTTACCAGATACCGTAAACAATACCAATCTCGTCTGAATTTCTCACCACAAATTTCTTTGTTTTTTATACATTAATTTTTATACTATAAACTCATAGTAAATAAAATATTGATTAGATATTAATTCATCTGGTCAAAAATCATTGGTGAAATCTGATTACTTTTTTAATTGTAAAAATTTGGATTAAATCAATAATTAAAAAACACTTATTTTCTAATGAAGTTTGTATTTGAACGTAACTTCTATGAATGTTTGTGAAGAGTTTATTTTGAATTCAATTGCCTTCTTCTAACAAAAGTTTTCCACATTTCCTCTATTCTATCCTAAAAAGCACCTTCACAAACATTTTATACCGATGATTGCGGCTAGGTCGGATGATGACAACTGCCAGTTGTTTCACACTAAAATACGCAAACTTTCCATTACATTCATTGATGAAATTTTGAAAGTCTACAACTGTTCATACCGTTTATAATTATTTGTGCCGGTTTCAAATCGTGTGCTGCCATCTAGTGAAAATAATTGCACCTATTCACCAAGCCGCAAACCACTATATCCTTGAATATTTGGAAGGCTACAACATTTCGAGTGATCATCAACATGACTTTCGGAAACAAAGATCAACAGCCGATCGTCTATGTCACCTATATTTGGAATAACGCAATAGAGAAACATGAGGAGTCAAGAACTGTTGCGCTTGATATTTCAAAGGCCTTTGACCCACTGTGGCATGAGGGTTTGCTGGCCAAACTTTGATGCTATGGCTTGTCGGATCATTTTTGTGTATGGCTCTTCAGCTTCCTGAAAGAACGTTCCCCGTTGATGGCTGTCAATGGATATCTCTCGAATGCTTTCGCCATCAACGCTGGTGTTCCCCAGGGATTTATATTGTCTTCAACCCCTTCTTCATTTTATGTCAAGGACTTATTGGAAAAAACAAAAAATTCAAAATATTGTTTTGCTGACGACATCACACTTGTTTCGTCGCTCCATTTGCATTCCAGGACATCGACTGCGGATGCACATCTTCATTGACAGAAGGACGTTGCATATCTTAATGAGGATCTAGAAGTGACTTCGAATTGGGGTTGAAGTAATCAAGTTCAATTGATTGTCACAAAAGCCCAGGCATCGGTTTTCTCCAAAAAGATAGATGTCTCCGAACAGGATATAATAATGTCAGGTCAGACAATAATTCCATTTTCTGCATCGTTAAGTTTGTTGCGGGTTGAAATGAACACGAATATGTCTTGGCACAATCATGTCACTGGAATTGCAAAGGCTGCTTCTCAAAAGCTTGGAACTATGTTCCGAACCAGAAAACTTATGATGATGTATAGAGCTCAGATCAGACCTCCTTTGGAATATTGTTCACGTGTATGGAGCTCCACCCCTCATCATACCCTGAAGCTGCTAGATTCTATCCAGAAAAGTGTCATCCGCCTGATTGAAGATTTGTCTTTCTTCTATAAATACTTTCAGGGAAAGTATTCAAGTGACTTGGCACATTTGATTCCACCAAAAGCGAGATATATTAAAAAAACGCGACGGACTGTGGCTACTCATCGTTTTGAGATTCAACTCAGTATACCTCAAACGTCACTGTAAATGAACTCTTTTATTCGAAGAACTGAAATAAATTTCCTGAAACGTTTTTCCAAATGGATTTAATCTCCAGCGATTCAAATCAAATGCAAAGCATTACTTTGGCACAGGCACTGCTCTTAAAGCACCTTAAGGAATTTTATGTAATGGTTGTGTTTTGTCTTGAAAAAAACCTGTCATATAGTGGCATGGTATGTAGTGATCTGTAATGCGGGTGTTGGAGGAGGTTGGTCGCTAAAAAATATAATTTATCTTTTGGAAAACTGATCACGAAACCACTCAACCCTTTACATCAGGGTGGATGTATGTGTTTTCAAGAATTTTTGTACGTTTATTTTTACAAAACCCCGAAAATAGCTTTACACAATATTATCTCTGACTGTGGAAATTTACAGTCTTAAATAATTCAAATGAACATAATCCTACCTGGTAGATGAGTGAGTTTGGCTTTTCTTTTGAGGAAATTCATCCCAGCATCTAACGACATCCTATATAAGTAAACAGGATAGTGCGAAGTTTTTGCGTGGATTTTTGCACATCCTATGATTCCAGCAATGAAAGAGTAATCGGATGGTAACTGTGAAAAGTCAATTGAAATCATACACATATACGAAATTGCAGTTAACTTAATTAATCCACCTGATGATATATTTTCGATATCAGTAAATAAATTCAATGCATTATTTTCCCATGATGAATCAAAGTTTGGATTGATGAGTGTTCCGCCTTTCTTGGGGAGAAAAGTCAATGAATTTTCTCTCGTAATCCATGATCCTATGAAAAACAACTCAGCCGCTTTCGTTCCTGCATGACAGTTACCTAACTCCAAGTTAGGTAACTGAGTATAGCAGAGCTAAGATTGAGCCGACCATGCAACCCAGAAAAGGGAATGCTAAGAGTTCTCTGTATAGCCCTGTCATTGGAACAGCTTTTCTGTCATATATAAAAAAATGTTACCGACCGGATCAGAAGAGTTCTAGAAAAATATAACGTTAAATCGTTATTCAGGCCAACAAAAACCATCAAATTATGTAAGGTCCCTTGAAGTTATGGATTGGTCTATATTGGAATCATGAAGATAATCATAGGTATTTGGCTCTCCGAATGAAGAATGAATTCAATTGGGGCATACCGATAAATCAACAGTAGTGGACATGTACTCAGAAAAGGAACCAAATTCATCGCATTTAAAGGAATCGAAGTCCCCGACGGTACCAAGAGTTGAAATCTAAGACTGTATAAGAAGACGATAAAGCACAAAAATAATGTTTTCCAAAAGGAGAAGGCAATGAACATAATTCAAATCTGTCTTATCGCACGTAATAGCTCTCGCATCAGGTCAAATAATTCAAACAGAACACGTCGTTCGTTGCCTCATTGCCATTGATGATGTTGACTGGAGTGGAAGAGTCAGTCATAAAAACCTGGAAAATATATTCGACACAATGACTGTCAAAATTACTATAGTTTTCGTGAAAATGTGTCCTCACCAATCTGCTATTACAGAAACATATATTTCCGAATTTCTAAAAAACTAAAAGAAAACAAAATATGAAAACTCTCCAAGAACAACATTGAGACCTGTGCTCATCAGAGAGGCCAGAATCAAGTTGTAAATGATATATCATCATCGTCAATATTATGTCACTCTTCTGCGAATCTAAGAATGTGTATGAATATTTTGGTGTAGGTTGAAAGTTAACTTACCTGGAACTCATTTTTTGCATTCTCTCCTCTGAAATAAAAGTTCTCTAATTTCCCACAGATATATTCTTTGATTGTACTATTATTTTCCATGTTTATTTCACGAGGAATGAAAGACTCCAGATTGTCCTGAATCTTTGGTATCGAAGTTCCATCTCTTCTATGATGCTGTCGTCCGATTTCCACCAGTAGCCCCTCATTTGAGCAATATCCCATCATTATCGGTACCTTGTTATATTTTCCAGAAGTCAACAAATCAATAGTAGGTTCCGAAATAAATTCCGTTTCATTTGGATTCTCTATAACTGGGCCGATCAATCCATCTGCATACTGCTTCCACTGGAACATTTGAGAAGTGGAAGATAAATAAAACTTATTTCGGAATGAGCATCATATGCTCCAAATACCTCCAAAGATATTGGAACTTTAAAGTGCATAACCTTTCCTTCATTGGGCAATATACTCTATTAGAGTTTGATTTTCAGCTCCTTCACGTAAATTATACATAAGGAATCCATCAACTTCAGACAAACTGCATAGAATCTAAACGCAAATGGTTCTCCAAATTCAATCAAGAAATCAATTATTTTAATCAACTTCAATGTGATACTCAACTTTGGGATTATAAATAAAGGTGACTAACAAGATATAATGATTTTTAGATTGGGAAGAAAAGGTTTTGATCATCTAGACATTTATGTTATCGTTTCCATATAAAGTCAATTTGGTCAACTCATGTTTCTATGAACATATTTTACAGGTCTTCTGAAGACAATAATTATTGTAGTTGCCCTGACGAAGGTGTGAAATATACCGAAAGCTTGATGTATAACAAAGAGTTTTCTTTGTAACAGCAATAATTATTGTTGTTGTCCTGACGAAGGTGTGAAATATACCGAAAGCTTGATATATAACAAAGAGTTTTCTTTGTAACAGCCCAGCTATTGAATCTAGGAAAGCTATCCGTTGATTTTGTTCAATCTCCATGGTAAATTCTATGCTCGAGTGTTGGGCGTTCAAGTGGTTTAGGAAACGGTTCAGGGCGTCTCTTCCATGTTTCCAGATGACGAAGGTGACATCCACGTAACGTAGCCACAAGGTCGGCTTCAATTCAAAAGTGTCTATCGCCTTCCCCTCAAACCGTTCCATGAAATAATTTGCTATCACTGAGCTAAGTGAACTCCCCATTGCAACGCCATCTAGTTGCTCATATAAGTTTTCCCCCCATTGAAAGTAACTTCCTGTGAGACATGTTCGACGATGTCATTCGGTAACACGTGGGCTAACCACCTCAGAGAGTCTTTCAGTGGGACATTGGTAAACAAAGACACCACATCGAAGCTGACCAGAATATCCGTCGGCTCCAGCGTTAAGCCTCAGCCGTGAAAGTCTAAACCATTCCGTCAAAAACCTCTACGGGAAGGAAATTTGGAGATTATACAACCAACTGGATAAAGGCAGGAAACGTAAAACACACTTACTGGAAACATTGACATTTTTATGCCGCTGTCGGGGCGCCAACATCACACCATCTTTCTTGAAACTGAATCGGTCCTTCGAATCAGCTCAAGCAAATCGAATTTATTCGAGAAGTGAAAAAGCCTTCCTACGAGAACGTAGCCAGCTAGCGGAGACAGACAATGCCTTGTTGAAACTATACCCCGAACTTCGCAACCGAATGAAACCCGAGGACTGGGACAAACTTGATGGCATATCTTACTCAAGAGTGGAAAATGAACGGGACAGAGTGAGCAAAATACAAAAAGTGAAATTCGAAAAACTACACGAGGCTGTATGTACAGCGGCCCCTCGTTCAAACTTCGCGATCATGCCACGATGGGTTCCAAACGAGGAAATTATCGCTGGTACAGAAGCCGCAATCAGGAATCTACCGGATGAAGAAGCGGAAGAAATCAGGATTGTGACAGCAAACATCCTGAGTAAGGCACGACCTCCTAAATACAACATCCCTAAATGAGAGATTGCAGCCTTAAAGAGCTTGAACTCTGACGAGAGCATCACGATACTTACAGCAGACAATGGAAATATCACGGTGATTCTGAAAATGGAAGAATATAACAACAAAATCGAAGAACTACTAGACCCGCCAAACTATCGCAAACTTCAACGGGACCCAACGCAATCTAAGTCAAGGAACGTGAACAAAGTCATAAGATCTTTCTCACTGCCGGAAACCACACAAAAACTGAACTGAACTGAGGCTGTTCCACCTAGGCTCTACGGGCTTCCGAAAATACACAAAACCAACATGCCACTGAGACCGATAGTCAGTACCCCGGGCTCTCCGACCTACCACTTGGCGAGACATCTGGCCTCGCTCCTACAACCCCATGTGGGAAAGACCAACTCCTACGTCAAGGACTCGACGGACTCTGTTGGTAAAATTAGGGGCTTAACGCTGGAGCCGACGGATATTCTGGTCAGCTTCGATGTGGTGTCTTTGTTTACCAATGTCCCACTGGAAGACTCTCTGAGGTGGTTAGCCCACGTGTTCCCGAATGGCATCGTCGAACTCTCCAGAACATGTCTCACAGGAAGTTACTTTCAATGGGGGGAAACTTCTATGAGCAACTAGATGGCGTTGCAATGGGGAGTCCACTTAGCCCAGTGATAGCAAATTATTTCATGGAACGGTTTGAGGTGAAGTCGATAGACACTTTTGAATTGGAGCCGACCTTATGGCTACGTTACGTGGATGACACCTTCGTCATTTGGAAACATGGAAGAGACGCCCTGAACCGTTTCCTAAATCACTTGAAAGCCCAACACCCGAGCATAGAATTCACCATGGAGATTGTACAAGACCAACGGATAGCTTTCCTAGATGTACTAGTAGAACGATGTGGTACCGGACTAACCCACAAAATGTATTAAAAACTCACACACACAGATAGATACTTGCAAGCACTATCGAACCACCATCCTAGCCAAAAGAGAGGAGTCATCTTCACTGGGCAAACACGACATCGAAACAGTCTTCAAACCCACGAGGAAGATACAACAAAGCCTCAGGTTGGCTAAAAACAGAAGAGACCCATTATCAGCAGCAGGGGTCTATCGCATACCGTGCACTTGTGAAAAGGTGTATATCGAAACCACCAAACGATCCATGGGAACAAAACTAAAAGAGCATAAAAGGAACTGCAGACTTGGCCAAATGGATGAGTCAGCTGTGGCAGAACACGCACTCAATGAATGAGACCACAAACTTTTCTTTGAAAACACAGAACTGATTGCCCCCAACCAGGGATACCATAGCCGACTGGTACGGGAGGCAATAGAGATCCACAAACACACGGAGAATTTCAACCGAAAAGAAGAAGCGGTGCACCTCAATCAAATATGGAACCCCAATTTGAGGAATTCGAGAATAACGAACAGGACAACAGGCAGCAACATTGGTAATGTTTCAAGTTCAAGTGCAGGAACGAGTACAAATACAACTGATTACCTGACAAGGCATAAATACGCTTTACGAAACCGAAAAGGTAGTCATCCGACAACAAGCCATGATGGTTAAACCTCTGAACAAGCTAGCCACTTGCGCCAGCGAAACGTCAGGAAGAAAGAAGAAATCCTCGGCTCTCAAACTCGAAAAGCAATGACACTGAATGTACATATTATAATCATAACATTATAATTTTCGTCATAACATACTATTATCGACCAATGAAACTCATGGTATATTCTATTCTATTACTTGAAGTGCTGAAATCGGACTACCATTGGAGTTTGATTGACCATGATGATTCAATTATTTGGAAATGAAATTTATATTCTGATACCATGTCCATCTAGTTGTGATATTGCAATTATTTTCAATAGTAGAATATTCTCAGAATCGATATAGCTCATTTTACAATCTACTTACTTCGCAAAATCTTTCTTGATTTACATGCCGTTCTTCAACATGCATAGCTTGCATAATTTCCAGAATTTCCTTCTCTTTTTCAACTTCAATTCCTGTGACGAATTTTATAAACTCAAATATATGATGGTATTCTGCGTGAGCGGCTGGATTGAGAACGACTCCACTTTGCATTATTACTTTGTGAAAGAGCCCTGCGGAGTGCTGTGACAGCAAATGAAAATGAATCGAAACTGATCCAGCACTCTCTCCGAAAATCGTTATGTTATTTGGATCACCACCAAAATTCTGTATATTTCTCTTTACCCATTTCAGAGCCATGGCCTGATCCTTCAGTCCCGCATTACCGGGAACTTCCAGCGATGTATCTCTCAAACTCAAAAATCCAAGTAATCCTAATCTATAATTGATTGTCACCAGAACTATATCTTCAATCATCAAAAACTCTGGTCCTGTTGAATCGGTTTTATTGGATCCAAATCGGTATGCACCTCCGTGGATCCATACCATTACAGGTTTCAAACTGGAACTTGGCTCAGGGAGCTGAAACATATAGGATTGATTAGACGATAATTCGATTAGTGGACACCAATAAAACAAAAAATCCTAGATATTCCATGAAGGTCTGGTAAATTCAAATTTAACTATTTCGTAACTTATTTCAAATAATATTCTTCCTTGAAGAGTTTTGAAGACTTTCAATTTGGAGATATACAGGGTGTGAAACATTCAAGGAGGACGAAATTTGTCATTATGTTCTGATTCGAATCAAAATTAGTTAGAGGGTATTTTCAGGGTTGAAAATTATACTTTCTTTGTCGATGCGAAAAGCAAGATGTCGGGCGAAATTTGTAATTGCGGTTACTTTCGAGCCGGCACCGAAAACGAATTCTTCAAAACACATGTGTTGTGACAATAAAGCAAAAACACGTCGATTTTAAATCCAAGACGGATATCTTTCTGTCGTAACCTCAACTGTCATACCTCTCTCTCCACCTCTTGGTCACTCATAAAATTTTAATAGGAAAAAATCTCAGTATGACACAGCATTAAAAAGGTAATTCTATAAGGAATACAGACATGTGAGTGTTCGCTACCTATCTTTTCATTTTGGTGCCCTATTGCGGAAAAAACAACTGTTTCGTATTCCAACTTATGATATTGTATTTGAAAGGTAATTGAGCAACGAGAGAATAACAAAAATTGAAACAATTAACATTGCATGAACTTGAAAATTGAAGAATTGTGCATGAATTTGACTATGAACAATCCAAACTACATTCATGCACAGTAGATGGTCGAAGTGTTCTCCATTCACTGCCATACATAAGTATAAGTTTGCCTCAAAATGTTTTCTCAGACGTTTTGGAGCATGTTTGTTATTTGACGACATTCGGTTATGACACGTTGACGTAACTCTTTTAACAAACCTGACTGAGTGGCGTATATTTTACTTTCTAAATAGCCCTACAAAAAGTAATCTAAGGAGGATGAAATGGGAGATCGGCGTGGCCATTCAATGCATCTTCTTCTTCTAATCCAATAAATCTTCCATTCAGGTACTGACGAACCGCTTCAGCAAAATGTGGAGGAGCTCCGTCTTGTTAGAATATTAGGTGATCCTCAAGCAATCGGTTAACGTTGGATCAACGGTTTAACTTTTGTTCTGACCAGTACCGACAATTCTGTTTAAAAAAAATCTGTTTTACCGTTAACCAACAGTCGCACCCCTACGGACGACAATCCTCAGAAGTCGAAACTTGTGCGAGATAAGTACTAACGAGGTCTTACCTTTCATCGTGTGATTTCTAATTATATCGATTGACAATCCTGTTGAGATAAAAACTGTATTCATCCAAAAAACAAATGTTCAAAACGAATTTTTGATTTTGTATAGCACGTTCACTCATCAGTGTTACAATATTCGTTCGGGTTTGAAGGCCTTCGTGGTTTGGAACTGTATCCTAACGTTTCGCCAGCATGAGTGGCTGGCTTCGTCAGAGGTCTATTCATCCTGGTGGTTTACCGACGTCTTTTGCATTTTATTCGATCTGTTTGGTTTTTTGTGCCCTACCCTGTATATGCTAATACATTCAACTGTATGAGTAGTTGCTATTTTGCCAACATCAAGGAAAAAATAATAATTGATGGTGATTAATATCGCTACAGTTAGAACAATTATAATTTCAGAATCGTCTGGATCAATTTACCTCTTTTGTAAATACATTTAGATTCAAGCAGTCCTCTGATCCTTCAAATTTTCCAGTCGATGAGTTTTTTTGAAAACAGATATCCCCTTCTTTTGTGCCATCTCTAATATATGTCCAAGGTTCCGCAGGAAGTGGAGCCTGAAATAAAATGTTCAATGGTATTTTTAGTTAGTATTGTTTTTGATTTTTCATTCAATTGTATATATAAAAGTGATTTACAAAATAGTAAACATATTTCAGATTCCATAACTTGAAATTTCATTGTTTGATCTCTAATAATTGCACTTGAAAGTTCGACAGAAGATCTTTGGTGTGAAGAATAGGTTGATGATGGGGGGAAGTCCTAATTTGAAGTCTTTATGATATGCTGAATGAATATTTTGAATTATCATGAATCGTACTTCTCATCTAAGAAAAAGTACTGCCAAATTATATTTTATACAACAAAAATAAGTAGATCAGCCGCCAATTTCTATAGAATACGAATGGTTTCGAATGAAAGCACTTCGATTTATATATATATTTATACAGTAATTTGGATAATTCACCACAGGGTCTTTAATAGCACAACTTGATCAGATCAGACCTCCAGACTTTCAACTAACCAATTAATCATGATAAACCTGCTTGTTGTCATTCGATAAAATCATCATTCATTCAGTGTCGATCATTCGTAGCGATCAGACACATTGAGGCGAAAGTGAACAGTGCCAAATAAGTTCTATTATGAATACAAAAGTGACTAACTAGGAGTAAAATCCATAGGGGTCGATGACCTAAGTTCTTTTCAGAACTACTCGTGTGCAAAGCACACAAACAAATTTTAACTTTTCAGCTTATCTTTTTAGGTTTCTTAAGGCTCTATAACGGAAATTATGGAGGAGAAACTGAAATTCTTCCAGAGAGACAATTACAGGCTGCGTCAACAAAAAGATGAACTAACGAGCCTAATAAAACACCTAAACGAAAGGCTGAATTATGTGGAGGATAAACCTGTGCGAAGGACAAGAACAAACATGGAAACATCCAGGGCAAAATCAGGCACAAGGGCTGAAGAAGCCAAAAAGCCAAAACAGCCCAGCGATATGGAAAAAAAAAGAGGAAACGCGTCAAACCAAGCGGCCACGTGGCCCTGACAGCGCAATGAACACGGACTCGGATGAAGACGGGTTCGAACTGGTAGAGAGGTCAAGGCCCAATCGGAAAACCAGAAGGCGCCTAGCGCAAGAGAAAGCCGCGAAAGCGGCAAACCAGGAAATATAGAACACAAACAAAGACATGGACACAATGTAGGAAACGGACGCCATTGAACTAATGGTACCAACTACAGAAACTGAATCACAGACCAATGATGCAGTGAGGCTAACCACTGAAGAAGTCGTACCAAGCACAAACACAAAACCCAAAGAAGTGGTACCACCCACAGAACTAGACAAACCACCACCGATAGTGTTACACGACAGCAAGTACGAGATATCCAAAGATCTCGAAACCAAAAAAATCAGATATAGCAAACCTAAGCTAACCAAGGACGGTATTAATATTCATACCAAGGACGAGGCGGAGTGGCGCAAAGCCACCAAATAATTGGAAGAGAAAAAAAAATACTTTCACACATACACCATTAAAAACGAGTTTCCGCTACACGCAGTGATTGGGGGAATCCCGGAAAATGTGGCGTCGGAGGACGTCACAAACGACCTAATGAAACAAGGATTCACTGTGCTTGAATGCCACAGAATGACATTCAGGCGCACCAGGATGACGCTACTCTTTTCCTGGTAGAAGTTCTTAAAAACAAAGAAAGGATCTTACACTCAGAACGTGCATGAACTTCATAGTGCGGGCAGAACCGCAAATAACAAATAAGGGGATAGTGCCACAATGTCACAGTTGTCAGTTATTCGGACACGCGCAAATATGCTGCCACTTAATGCCACGTTGCGGAAAATGTGGTGAAAACAACGAAAGCAGAGACTGCAAAAATCCAAAAGAGACTCCAGCGAAATGCGTAAACTGCTTGAAGGCGCACTCAACTAGTTACAGGGGGAGCAAAATATTCCACAGACCGAGGAAATCAGCATGGAACAGTCCCAGGCAAACCGAGAGCCAGAGGCCCAGGCAGCATCCGTCAACCAAGAAAAGGAGCCCACCGAAAGCGCAGAATAGTAGCAGCAACGACCTGATGAAAATATTAGTCTCACGACAGAAAAGCGGAGGATCGCGCAAGCGGTACTAGCGTCACTATCACAATCACATGGAAACTGTTAATGCCAGCACAGATTCCAGAACTGCTAAAGATAGGTTTGTGGAACATCAACAGTTTTATAGACAGGAGGAACGAACTACTGGAACTGCTATCACGACTGGACATATACGTCATGACACTACAGGAGACATGGATAAGGAGTGAAAAGATACATACATCCTAGGATACAACATATATATGACATACAGGCCAGGAGGGCGCAGTAGGGGGCTTTGCGCTGCTAGTAAAACTCGGAGAAACAGTAGTAGTCAGAGTGAAATTGAAACGCTACGAACAGCCAACAATTACCATAGGCGACTTCAACGCAAAGTCGCGCGACTGGAACTGCAGGAATGGAAATCAAAGAGGCAGACAACTAGCCAGAATACTAAAAGAATTTGAGGATATCGTGGCAGTAGCATCAGGATTCCCAACGCATTACTCACGAGAAGACAAAGTCACAGACATTTTTGACGTCGCGATAGTGCAGAACATCACTACTTTGGAGATGGAAGTACTAGACGAAGGATCATCAGACCACACAACCCCATCCTATTCACAATAGGAAGAGGTAAGTGGAAACATATATTCCAACAAAGAAAATCATCGACTGAAAAAGATCCCAGCGCACCATACACGAAGTAATAGGAGACATACCAAAGACCGATCTGGAGAACGCCTCACAACAGCTGCAACAAGCGATCACGCAAACAATGGAAAGAAGCGTGCGGAAAGTCCCAACCCAGTGCTTCACCTAACAGTGCATCTTGCACCGGAAACGATGGAGCTCATTAGAATCAGAAGACGCCAGAAAAGACGATATCAACGGACTCGCGTACCAATGGACAAAAGGTGTATGCAAAGAGCCAGCAGAATACTGCGAGAAGAACTAAAAACAATCTGAGATCAGAAATGGACAACCCGTTTGGAAGAACTAAATACCGAAGACACATCTGCATGGAGAATGCAAAAAACTCTTAGGAACCCAGTTAGCACAGGACGTTTTAAAGACGTCCATTATATGTCCATTCATCGTCTGAATGTCCAGGACCAAGTCTGGACGTTTTAAGTATGTCCAGTTTAGTAAATCCTCGGGACGTCTAGAAATATATGTCCCTNTCCTATTATGGACGTCCAGAAGACCACCTGATTATTAACAATGGACCTTACAAAGACGTCCATAAGATGTGCACGTCCATAAGATGTGCACGTCCATAAAATGGACGTTTTGAGGATGTCCTGAATGTCCAAGCGGGACGTTTTAAAAACGTCCATAAGACGTATATGTGCTATCTGGTAAGGGACCTCGAAAGCCATGCCCGCCAATACACGGCGAGAAAGGAATCGTCTACACGGACCAAGAGAAAGCGAAAGCATTCGCGGAGAATCTCGAAAGGCAGTGTAGAGAGAACGACGTCCTGTTTACATACGAAATAGAAGACACAGGTGGAAACGGCGGTACGTAGACTCAGAAGACAGAGAAGGGATAATGCGCAACCCCTGGCACCAACATTTCCCGAGGAAGTGAAAGATATCGTAAGACGTCTAACTACTCGGAAAGCCCCAGTCCCAGACCAAATAACTAACCGGGCTCTGAAAGTCCTACCACGAAACATCATAAAGGAGGAGGCGATGGTTATAATAGGGGGGAGCCCAAGCGGGGATTTCGGGATTTACTAAAGCGCGGCAGATTGATATACAGGGGGATACCTTGTACCTGGTTCAGTACCTCCACTGAATATGATATATGAATATGATATAAGGCTGCCTGTGAGAGGGAAAGAATCAGATTAGTAAAAAAAATTGATCATCAGAAATTCTCGAGCGCGTCAGATTAGGGTAGGGTGAATTAATGACCTGCTGAAAAGTGTATCAGTAATCTGACAATTTGAGAGTGACATAAAGAAAGGGGAGGGCAGCAAAGGATAACGAAAAATATATAATCTGACGATTTCCGCAAGGCAAAATAACAAAAATTCGTCAATAAAATTTATTGCGTGCAGCTGTGCGATACCTATATTTCCCTCTCCAAGTTTTTATTTCTCTATTCACTTTTTCTCTATCTATTACTCTCTCATTCCGTCCCCACTCTGAATTCTGTTGCCATGACGCCATCACAGCTAATCACAGAGATTCGTTCGTGATGAAGATGAAGATGATGATTAATTAATCAATTAACTGATGGATATAGCCGGTACTACGTGGTAGGAAATCATAATGGAGAAAAGAGAAATTGAACTTTCTATGTTTTCACCACTTTTATTTGTAACTAACGTTACTGCAGTTTCGTCATATCAGAACATTTTCAAACTTATACAATATACAAGTTTGAAAATGTCCTTATAGGACGAAACTGCAGTAACGTTAGTTACAAATAAAAGTGGTAGAAAAAAAACATACACTTATCTATATGCATGCTATTTTACGAGCTTTCCAATTGATTAAGTTCAATGAAAAGAAAAAAAATTAAAAAAGTTGTTTTTGTCAGATTGAGCGAATCTCTCTAGATAATCGTCAGATTATGAGACAGCACGTCTAAAACATAAAGATGAACCATATATATCTCAATCAGAAGCGCTTGAGTATTTCAAAATGGCGAATTTTTTTTGCGCATTATAATAATGGCCGCGAGTTTGCGTCAGATCGAAATCGTCAGATTATTGAATGAGAGCTTTTCTTTGTTGCACTCAACACCCCCTTAGAAAATATGACGCGCTTGAATAAATTTTTTTTCTTTTCACTTTTAACTCTTACGTACCCACCCACATCATGCAAACGATCAGATTAACATACCAACATTATTGAAAATACGTAGGACATTGATGCTATCAATATCTGACCCACTCGAGTATGTCCATGCAACAGTTTTTTTTTACATATTTGAAAATCTATGGCCACTTTCCTCACCTTTGGAAAGATATATATTATATAACATTTTTTTCTTCTTATCATCTGAGCTTTGCAACCTAATATGTCTCGATGACGCTCGAGTAAAACCCCATTTTGCATCGTGGGCTCCCCTGCTATTATCCATATCCCGAAGCCAAAAAAGAACCACCTATTTCCGGATAACAGGCCAATCAGCTTAACCCTTTCCTTGAGCAAAGTGGCAGGACGTGTCATCCTGAAAAGTTTAGAGGACCAAATCAGCGAACTAGAAATACTACCACAAGAACAGTTTGGTTTCAGATCCGAATACTCGACAGAGCTGTAAGTCCTAAGGGTAGTAGACTTTGCCACGGAAGGTTTCAACCTAGGCAAAGGATACAACACCGGAGCTATTTTCTTAGACGTCTCCAAGGCGTCTGGCATGACGGACTTCTGACCAAAATGATCAACTTTAGCTACACGAAAGCAAAGGTAAGGTTAATCGAGTATTTTCTAGCTGACAGGCGATGCCGCTACAGAGTAGGACAAGAACTCTCAACGATGCGATTACTGGATGCAGGGGTCCCACAAGGTGCAGTCCTTTCGCCACACCTCCTCCCGGTATACACAGCAGTCGTTCCCAAGCCAGAGAACAACTTTAACAAGTTGGCGCTCTACGCGGACAACACAGCTCTGCTGGCGAGATCAACACGCCAAGCGCAAGTCACTAGGCAAGTCAACAGACAGATAGATTAGAGGAATGGGTCAACCTGTGGAAGATCAGTATGAGCCCTGGCAAGAGTCAGGCAATACTGTTCACCTGGAGAACGGTACACCCGGAAAGAAATATCACATTTAACGGACAAGAGATTCCGTGGACCAACGAAGCTAGATACTTGTGGGTCAACCTAGACAGAGGATTAACGTTCAGGTCTCACGTACGGCAGATAATGAGAATGGCGAGATCTGCCCGACAAAACCAATTACCAATAATAGGTCGAAGAAGCAACATGGGACTGAAAGTGAAGCTGCTGATGATAAAGACCGTAATACTACTGTAATACTGTATGCCTGCACTGCCTGAGGCCAGTGCACAGCGATATACAAAAGACAGATCCAGTCGTTTATGAACGCGTTCGTAAGGGCCGCCGTAATCGCTCCAAGATATATACCGAATGGGTACATATTCCGGGATCTAGACCTGAACATACACTACGTGGACACATACATGAGAAAACACGCAGAGGACACGGTCGACAGAATTCGAGCGACTCACATAACAGACTATACAGGGATGACCCCAGATTCCGAGAAAGAGACAAACACAAGAGGTCGACGAAGCAGAATCAAAGACCACCCCCGAAAGTCGCTGTCAGGCGGCTCCGGTAAGTATAAAAATGTGTCAACCAGTTTCAAATTAATCTCTTTTTCAGATTCACTGAAAACCAATACATGCTCGCGACTAAAAAGACACTCGTCTCCGGTTAGTTTTTGGGGACCCCATGTAATAATTCAGTTAGGAAAGTCATGATGAAACAATTCAGCAGATCAGAAAGTAAAGTCACCTAGAGGCTGTCTTTAGATCAAAGAAGGTCAGATGTCAATCTTGCTGAAGTGTCCATCAGTAAGTTTAAGGACCGCTCCGGAGGAGCGGGGGTGGATGGACGAGATGGGATGCTCTGCACACATTCACCGTGTAAGGAAGTTTTCAACTCAGGGCACTCAACCCGGGAGGGGGCATGGGGGGCCATTCGATACATTATTTCCAAAAAATTGAAAAAAAGTGGAAATAATAAGAAGAAAAGTGTTAGAAATGGGTAAATTCAAGAGAAGCGGATAAAAAAACAAAGAACCGATAAAGACAGAAATGAATAAGAGAAGAAAACCTCATAATGAAATACTCTTTGATGTTATAAAAATCGGATTGTGTCACTCGAATTTTAGAACTCAGTGAGGTTTATATTCAAATATTTGATGAGGATCATTGAAGAACAATCAATGTAAGTTTCAGGTGTTTTGCTCAAAAACATTTTGTTTCATTCTCTATTATTTGACAGGAGAGACAAAAAGTGAGGAATAAATTTTACCGAAAAAAATTTTGTATATCAAATTTATATAAATTGAAAGTAGTATATTGTGAAACAGATTAAGTTTTGAAAAGGAAAGATTTTTGCTTTCTACCCCATATTCATATTGAAAATGTGGGAATATTCCGAAGATAGAAAGGAAGCAATTAATTTCAGAATAAAATCTTCACAAAATTCATGTGGATAAGTAACTTGCAGGCACGAACTGGGAAAATACAGAACACGTAATACAGAAAACACATTTTCATGTTAAGTTTGTACTCCAAACATTCGTTATGAAGTTGAATCACAATATAGAATATCAAAGAGGTAAAATTTCTTTTACATGGAACCTGATATAACTATTGAAATTTTGATGGATTTTTTTCTGACCTATAACTCATTAGTATCATTTGTATAAACATGAAAGACTTTACAATCCGACAATGCATGTCAAAATTACCATAAATCGTAGATCTCCAACTGGCGGTCTACCGTATGGTATGCCTAGGAAACATAAGAAATCACCCCCATTTAGATTCGTTCTGTAACTTCCGCGTACAAATCCTCCTTCAGTATTCACAACAGCTGGACCCATTCTATGAAATGAAAAGTATAACTAACTGACGTTCAAATGGTTATATCGTTTAACAATTTGCTTAGCTCCAACGCGATCGTTAAACAAATTCTTATCTATTAAGTACACATAGAAGTGAAGGTTGCCATGCAAGATTATCATATTCATGAGAATAAATTTGAAATATTTCGACGAATCAAATGAAATTTCAACAGAAATTAAACCTGAATTAATAATTCTTGATATCAAAAATATGATTTTCTTTTTTGATAAAGATAGTTTTTGGCTTTCTACTACTCCATCTTGATACAAAAAAATATGGGAATCTCCCAAAGGAAGGAAGGAAGTAATCAATTTGAAAATAAGTAACTCTATACATGGATGTGTAGATTATGCAATTTCAGATACAAACTGGAAGAAAGTTCTCCTGAAACAGCTACTCTCATATAAACATTGAATTCACACGAAAGAAAAAAATTCTTTCGAAACGAATACTTTTATATGAATACTGAATTATACAGAAGATACTTTTCTCTACTCAGTTTGTATTCCAAACATTCGTTATTCGTGATAAAATTAGATATCATCCACAGGCATATTAGTTCTACTTCAAATGGATGGTAACAAATTGCACTTACATGGAACACTGTCACCCTCACTGGTATACACCGATGTTTCGCCTTAAGACACTTGCCCCAAGGCTCTTCAGTACCAAATTGGATAACATTATAGAAAATACACATATTTCATTCATGAATTACGATTCTTTAATGTCACGGAATAAGTTTGATCTACTTTCCTTATTTCAAGTCGGTTATACGTTGCTGGTTGGAAAATTTCACAAACGAAATCACGAAAACTAGTGTTGGAATATTATAAAAATCTGGTTTATTCCATTCAAATTTCCCAAAGATCATTGAAAGAAACTCATTAATCTATAGACTACTGAAAAGTATTGCGTTACTAATTGATGGAAACCATGATATTGCAGTTCTGATGAAATTCAAATTTTAACTTTTGGAAAAGTAGGGTTGTTATCAATTTTGCTACCTAAGAGACAATCATTAAGAAAAAAATTCAACATTAAACTGTACTAGAATACTCTCATTTACTGAGAAAACATTTTCTCCTGATATACTCATGAAAGTGTAACATTTTTTGTTGCAGTCAAAGACGTACATGGGTAGCTGATTTTCAGGCAGCTAATTGGAAAAAAGAGACAAATGTTTTGTTGTAAACTGATCAACATATTGGATTCACTCTTTTTCCCAATGAGTCATTGATATACTTACAATAATATACTTTAGAGAGCCGACTATTCGAAGAAGAATCCAAAGCCCTCGATAGAACTCAGAGTTACTCAAGACCGCCACCAACGGAATACATTCAGACATCCAAACATAGTATTTGCTTTCAGGAAAATTAGAACAATTGGCCTTTGATGATGTCTAACGCAGTTGTAGATGGAATTCCAGGCGGAAAAACCAGCTTTGAAACGAATGAGGTGGCTGTTTACATTTGTATCGTGCGAAAAAAATCGGGAATATTCACACACTCTTCAAGTTCTTACAACCTCACAAACCTACAAAACTACATTTTTAAATGAACCCAAAAATAAACAAACGTTTCTAACCACGAAAAAGAAGATAAAATCAGAACCAATATTACCAACCGTATGAAACGATGAAGTATTATACGTACTGAAAAAAACGGAATTTGATACCGTCTATTATTACTGTAGGTTCGTACTAAAATAAAAAACTGGTTGACATTTTGCATACATGAAAAAGAGAAGTAGAGCATCCTTTATGATTTCCTCCCTTCGTCAGCGCCATCCTTTGATTGTTTGTAAAAACACACCCTCGTATAATTATGTATAAAACATAGTCAGATGATGATACGAAGACAAAGTTATGTCAGCTATTTCCATATATAATAACGGAAATTATGGAGGAGAAACTGAAATTCTTCGAGAGAGACAATTACAGGCTGCGTCAACAAAAAGATGAACTAACGAGCCTAATAAAACACCTAAACGAAAGGCTGAATTATGTGGAGGATAAACTTGTGCGAAGGACAAGAACAAACACGAAAACATCCAGGGCAAAATCAGGCACAAGGGCTGAAGAAGCCAAAAAGCCAAAACAGCCCAGCGATATGGAAAAAAAATGGAAACGCGTCAAACCAAGCGGCCACGTGGCCCGGACAGCGCAATGAACACGGACTCGGATGAAGACGGGTTCGAACTGGTAGAGAGGTCAAAGCCCAATCGGAAAACAAGAAGGCGCCTAGCGCAAGAGAAAGCCGCGAAAGCGGCAAACCAGGAAATATAAAACACAAACAAAGACATGGACACAATGTAGGAAACGGACGCCATTGAACAAATGGTACCAACTACGGAAACTGAATCACAGACCAATGATGCAGTGAGGCTAACCACTGAAGAAGTGGTACCAAGCACAAGCACAAAATCCAAAGAAGTGGTACCACCCACAGAACCAGACAAACCACCACCGATAGTGTTACACGACAGCAAGTATGAGATATCCAAAGATCTCGAAACAAAAAAAATCAGATATAGCAAACCTAAGCTAACCAAGGACGGTATTTATATTCATACCAAGGACGAGGCGGAGTGGCGCAAAGCCACCAAATAATTGGAAGAGAAAAAAAATAATACTTTCATACATACACCATTAAAAACGAGTTTCCGCTACACGCAGTGATTGGGGGAAACCCGGAAAATGTGGCGGCGGAGGACCTCACAAACGACCTAATGAAACAAGGATTCACTGTGCTTGAATGCCTCAGAATGACATCCAGGCGCACCAGGATGACGCTACTCTTTTCCTGGTAGAAGTTCTTAAAAACGAAGAAAGGATCTTTACACTTAGAACGTGCATGAACTTCATAGTGCGGGCAGAACCGCAAATAACAAATAAGGGGCTAGTGCCACAATGTCACAGTTGTCAGTTATTCGGACACGCGCAAATATGCTGCCACTTAATGCCACGTTGCGGCATTAAGTGGCAGCGAAATGCGTAAACTGCTTGAAGGCGCACTCAGCTAGTTACAGGGGGAGCAAAATATTCCACAGACCGAGGAAATCAGCATGGAACAGTCCCAGGCAAACCGAGAGTCAGAGGCCCAGGCAACATCCGTCAACCAAGAAAAGGAGCCCACCGAAAGCGCAGAATAATAGCAGCAACGACCTGATAAAAATATTAGTCTCACGACAGAAAAGCGGAGGATCGCGCAAGCGGTACTAGCGTCACTATCACAAGCACATGGAAACTGTTAATGACAGCACGGATTCCAGAACTGCTAAAGATATGTTCGTGGAACATCAACAGTTTTATAGACAGAAGGAACGAACTACTGGAACTGCTATCACGACTGGACATATATGTCATGACACTACAGGAGACATGGATAAGGAGTGAAAAGATACATACATCCTAGGATACAACATATATATGAAATACAGGCCAGGAGGGCGCAGTAGGGGGCGTTGCGCTGCTATTAAAACTCGGAGAAACAGTAGTAGTCAGAGTGAAATTGAAACGCTACGAACAGCCAACAATTACCATAGGCGACTTCAACACAAAAAGTCGCGCGACTGGAACTGCAGGAATGGAAATCAAAGAGGCAGACAACTAGCCAGAATACTGAAAGAATTTGAGGGCATCGTGGTAGTAGCATCAGGATTCCCAACGCATTACTCACGAGAAGACAAAGTCACAGACATCCTTGACGTCGCGATAGTGCAGAACATCACTACTATGGAGATGGAAGTACTAGACGAAGGATCATCAGACCACACAACCCCATCCTATTTACAATAGGAAGAGGTAAGTGGAAACATATATTCCAACAAAGAAAATCATCGACTGAAAAAGATCCCAGCGCACCATACACGAAGTAAAAGGAGACATACCACGTATCGAAACAAAGACCGATCTGGAGAACGCCTCACAACAGCTGCAACAGGCGATTACGCAAACAATGGAAAGAAGCGCGCGAAAAGCCCCAACCCAGTGCTTTACCTTACAAGAGCATCTCGCACCGGAAACGATGGAGCTCATTAGAATCAGAAGACGCCAGAAAAGACGATATCAATGGACTCGCGCACCAATGGACAAAAGGTGTATGCAAAGAGCCAGCAGAATACTGCGAGAAGAACTAAAAACAATCTGTGATCAGAAATGGACAACCCGTCTGGAAGAACTAAATACCGAAGACACATCTGCATGGAGAATGCAAAAAACTCTTAGGAACCCAGATAGCACAGGACGTTTTAAAGACGTCCATTATATGTCCATTCATCGTTTGAATGTTTGGACGTTTTAAGTATGTCCAGTTTAGTAAATCCTCGGGATGTCCAGAAATATATGTCCCTAGAACGTCCATTCTAGGTACTTTATTATATTATTATATTTCCATTGGATTCACGTTCGCATTGTATTATTTCATGAGAAAC